ATACATCTTCATGTCGAGTCTTTGAGAAAACATCTACTTTCTTTATTTGTTCGGTAGTTTGTGAGTTTGAAGTTATATATGCTTCTTCTCTTGCGTTGTCTTGAGAATATACGATACGACCATTTGCAAGGATTTGATATCCAGCAACTGCATAGAAAGCGTCATCGAAACCAATCCAAAATCCTGGTGGGTTTTTTTATTGGAACCTGAACCAATTTCTTTATCTACAATAAATTGACCTTCCATTTTATACGTAATGAATGTATTGTAAAGGTCCAACATATTTTCACCAGGAGGTGAGAGATTGAATGTTACCCATGTGTTATCTTTAGCAGTTCCAGGTTGTGATGGAATCTTTGCGTCAGAATATTTTCTATTAGTGTCACCAATTTGAACTGCATTGTCTATGATATCGAAATATGAGCGAATCTGATGAATATGCTCTGCTGGAGTAAATTCGTTTAGCTGTTCGTTCTGCATGTATTTACTTCAGATAAAAATATCTATTTACTTCATTATTCTCACTCTTCTTCTTGGCATTCGTGGTGGAAGTTGTTTCTTGACATTTTCAATGAACTGTACATTCTCTTTTGTCTCAACTTCTTTCACTGGTGGTCAGGTTCTTTGACTCGGTTTGTTTTTCAATGAAATTCACGAACTTTGCAATAAGCTCTTGGTTCGTTATTGAAAGTACATCTGGCTTCTTTTCTTCTGGTTCTATTGACTTTTCAGTTTGAACAGAAGGTTTTATATGGGCTTCGTGGACTTCACCCTTGCCATACACCTTAATGTTGTCGCTTTCTGCATTCGCTAATGGAACCTTTCTTTTTCTTACGTATATTTTACCATCTTTACTCTGACTTACGTAATAGAAAGGATGTTGTATTCCTCTTGCGTCATTTAATATAATAGACTCTCGCTCTGATTTTGACAAGCTCATTTTACATCGGTTAAAGTTTTAATTTTGTTTTTTATCTGCAGTCAAATGACTCAGACAAGCCCTACGGACAAGACCCAAGGGGTCATAGATGTTGAAGCATTGAAGAAAGAAATTCGTGAGCAAATTTTATCCGAACTGAAGGAACAAAAACAAGAACAAAAGCCAGAGAGACCAAAGAGAAAACTTAGTGAAAAACAACTTGCTGCATTAGCTGCTGGAAGACAAAAGAACCCAAGACTACTGGCGAAAAAAGCTAGAGAAGAAGCTGAAGCAAAAGCTAAAGAAGCTGAAGCAAAGAAAGAGTAAATGGTTTATTTTTATCCGAATTAAATGTATAGACAAATACCTTTATCTGTTGCGTTCAGTAGTGAAAACCCTGACGTCAAAATAAAGGGGAACAGAGTAACGTTTAAGTTTCCAACAGACTGGATTGTGAACATAAATGAAGAGAAGTACATTGGCATAACATCTATGTATATAACACGTGCTTTCAGAAAGGTTGACTTTATACTTCAAGTCGAGATAGAAAATGACGAACAGTCTTTAAGCGCCCAAAACATTCACATATACAAATACTTTAAAGACGATACAACATTGCAACAATGTATGATTTCATTTAATGAGATGTTCGAGAAAAAGTTCAACATTGAAGTACAAACTTTACAGCCTTTACGTGAGTTTCTTGCACAACTGAAAGAAGAAGGTAGTCAGCCACAACTTATAGACTTTCATTATGAATTTAATGAAAATGAAGATGGAACACATGACTGTCAGTTTGTTGTATTCTCACCATTCAATGAAGTCGCTAAAGAGAAAAAAAATCCATTACGTATAAGATTTCAAATCTCTGAACCAAGTGATGATTTCAAGAATGTTTTCAATTATGATGCAATGCTTCCGAGGAAAAATGAATTTTCCGAAATTAGATTTCCAGGTATTTGGGATAGAAAGCAAGCTATATTATATTCAAACTTAAGTAAGGGAGTTGAAAATGAGTTCATTGGTCATACAAGAACTTCACCACTTCCTAACCCTAAATACTATAAATTAACTGGCTTCAATCGTGAGTTTTGGATAGACATGTTCTCCACTCATGACCATAAAGCCCTGTTTTGCTACCTCCAGACCATAAGGACTGTCTCTACATTGAAGCACAACTCTTAAACTCTACCATCGCAGTATTGTAAATGACCACATGAGCTTATTTTTATCACGAATGACCTCATTGCTGACAAAAATAAATGACCTCAGAACTTCAACTTACGAATAAAGCTTGTTTTAGTCGTTATTGAGAAGTTAAACTTCTCTTCAAAGCAAGGTTGACATGACTTACATAAGTCAAATCCAATCTCTTGACCGTCATAAAGTGCTTTGTAAAGTTTCATTAAACTGAACTCAGAGTCTTTGTCATATGTTCCAACAGGTATGTGAATGTTCTTATCTTCATTGTAATAGCATTGTATAGCTTCAGGAAACATTTCATTTGCTGTTAAAGCAAGGACGTCTTGTTTGACACCTTTGCAACGTGCATGGAATGCAACTTCATTTAAATCGTTAGTGAGTAAGTCTATGTAAGTCTTCTTTCCACAAAATATTGACTTGTATGCTAAACTTTGTTTTCCAGGTGTGATTTCTGCAAAGTCGCTATGAAATTGACCTAATGTTTTACCAATAAGTTCTCTACCGTATCTCTTCTTAAACTCTGCTGCAAGCTTTGGTATGTCTTCATTGAAAATATGCATGCTATCACAGTCCTGGTAAAATATTTGAAGTCCCATATCTTCTGCAGTACAGAATACTTCACACATTATTCTCTTCGACATAGACAGAATGTTAACACCAAGTGGACAGAAGTTAAAGTGTCTGCAAATGCTTTTCGTTAGCTTGAAAATAGTTTTATCTGAACCATCCAAACCTTCGAACTTCACTATATGGTTGTAGTTTCTGATGGCATATCTTATAGCATCTTTGTCATCTACTATGGTTATTTTTGACTCAATAGGAGATAGAATAGTTTTGCCATAAATACTGTTCAGAATGAGCTTTATATTTTCTTGCAAAGGATTTCCTTCTTTCTTATACTTTAACCTTAACTCAAACAACTTCTTTACTTCATCTCTTATTCTAATATCTCTGTTTCCATCGTAATAGTATCCTTGCAACACTTCACATTTGACACCTTGATATTTTATGAGGTCTTGTAATGTTATATGGTCAACATACATTAAACAGCAAGTATTTGAACTTCTGGGAACGTTAAGTTCTGGATTTAGTTCAGGGTCACAAACTATTAAAGGAAAGTGTCTATGTATTCCAATCTCTGTTATCTTAATGAGAACAAAGAAGCCGGACATAAACTTTTCACCAATGGGTTCCTTTTGGTCGTCATCGAATAAATGTCTCATGAGATACTCTGTGCTTAACATTTCTTTCTTCATAACCTTTGGAATACCTTCTAAAGTATAAAGTCTTGCTATAGCTGATGGATATAATGAAACAGCGTCGAAATCAGCAATGAGTTTCTCTTTACTCTTTTGTTTAATGTTATCTGACAACATACATCTTCCACCTTGAATGCATCTCGAAATAAATTCTCTTGGTTTATTTGAGAGGTCATATAAATTTCCATTCGGGAAGTACACTCTGTTCTCAAATAATTTGTTAGCAATTGAACAAATACTAACGTAGTCATAAACGTTTAAATCAAATTCTTTCAATATGTCATTGCGGAACTTAACAAAACCTTCTCTTAAAATTCTTACATCTTGTTTGCAATAAAATGTGCTATACTTTTCTAAGTCGAAGTGGTTCTCATCTATTCTGCAACCTTTGATGGAATCTATGTTTTTCATGAATGTATCTGCATCCCGGATAAACTTACATGCTTCAGAAATGACACCAGTTCTGTTGTCATTTGCTAACAAAACACTGCTGTAGTAGTTGTATGGAAATACTTCTTTCGGTCCTGTTTGTAAGTTAAACATAGCAGGAAATAGTTTAAGCTTCTTATTTATAACACTGTAAGAGTCTTTTATAATAATTGCCCTTCCTTTATATAAGCCAGTTATTTGCATTGTTCGTGAACCTTTAATGATGGGAGTTCCTTTCACTTCTGTCATGTGTCTTAAGATGAAGTTTATATCATAACTGAGGTTATGGAAATATATTAAACTCTTGTCAGGAAGTCGCTCCAAAAATTCTGTTGCACAGTTCTGACCCCAAATGCTTTCACTCACTGAACCATCTTCACTGTCGTAACATATGTTAAAAGCTTTATGAAAGCCATCGTACTGCACTCAAAGTCAGCAAAGAAAACGTGCTCAGGAATGAACTTGCACTTATTTTTATTTACTTCTTTTGACTCGGCTTTCTTCTTCAGTTGTACACAATACTTTGGAGCATATGTCAAATCTTTAAATGGTGCAAGGTTCTGTTTATATAAGTCAGTAGTATATGTGAAAAGTTCTCCATAAGAAATAGGTTCGAAATATTTGCACTCCCACAATGTTTTCATAACATCCCATAACGGTGTTGTTCTATCATAACGAACTACATATTTATCTTCTCTCTTTGTATAAATCTTCATTTGTTTCTCAATGTTCATTCCACCACAAGCTTTGAGAATTTCTATATAGTTGCGAATGAAATATGTTGTCATTGGTAATCTTTCGTTTAGCATGTAGTGGTCTTCAACAAGAAGTAAGTCAATAGTTCTAACAGTTTCACATTCTTTTGGTATATATCTCTTTATTTCATTATGTCTTGAGTCATTGAAATAACCAATGGTAACATTAAATGCTATACCTGTTGCGTCAGAAATTTCTTGTACTTTACTTTGAGGAAAGTCTCTAACACGAATGACTTCTCTCATGTGGTCAATAGTCTCTCCATCTACTCCAGCCTGAATGCAAGCATAAACGAAACAATTGTCTTCTGTCATAAGTGCTGCAGTTCTTTGTTCAATTCATTGAAGATTTGGTAGCGCTCAAGATTTATAGGTAATGTGCAAAGATACTTCCAGAACTGACCGCTTCTCTTCTTATAAAACTTCTTTTCACCATTATCTTTCCAAAAGCTTTCTATAAGTGCTGGGTTTCCTGTTTGCTTAAGAGCTTCCAAAATGGCTTTCTGGTCATTTGTCAGTGTGCTTTCATCTCTATATGGTCTCTTTTTTGGTTTGCCTTTCTTTACATCTGACATCGTTAAGCCTTCATATTCTGTTAAATCATACATCTTTATTTCAGTAAGATTCTTTATGTTTGTCAAGAAGAAGTCATAGTGCATTTCAACAATACCTGCAGCATTTGCTTCTATCTCTGATATAAAGTTCTCCTTCAAGAGCTGATGTAGTAATGTTCCAATATTATTGAGGTTTAACGTAGAACATTCATACTTTCCACCAAGTTTATAACATACCATCCATCTCTGTTGGGTGTTTATTTTAATCTTCTCTAAGAGTCTCATGAAAACCTTACCGAAATGTTTGTGTAAGTAGTCTCTGTTTGGTTCATCTAAAGCTTCGATGTTAAAGTCAATGAGTCTATTGCCTGACTTCACATTTCTCTTCCTATTCTCTTCATCTTTCTTTAACCATCTCTCACCTTCTTTTGGTTTGTCGTCAATGGAACGAATGACATCGTTAGCTTTGCGAACTTGTTCTATAGCGCTCTTAAACATCTCTCTTCTCTGTTGTTTCAGTGTGTCGTCTCTTCTTCTTGTTTCACCAACGTTTGCATTTGTTATGTCAAACATCTCTTGACGAACATCATGCGAAAGAGCTTTACGAGTATGACCAACGTTTGCATTTGTTATGTCAAACATTTCTCTTCTTACTTCATGAGGTACTGAACGTCTATGATATAAGTCAATAGCAACGTCATTTAAAGGAAATGCTCTTGCATGGACTTCGTCCTCGCCGCGTTGCGGCTTTATGAACTCATGAATTCTATCATAAGTTATTTCAACATTGTAGTCATTGAGGATGTCAGCGAGTGCTTTTTTGTTTGTTGCGTAATGTTTTGCAACATCTATGTTAGCTTCTGTAAGAAGTTGTTTTATTTCCGAGTGTTCTAACTTAGACAACTTCCGATACATCTTTAGTAGGAAATAAAAAAATATTTTTTTGAAAAAATTAGCTTAGATTTTTTTAAGTTATTTTTCAAAATAATTTAATATTTTTATTATAATGAAACACATGCAAGATTGCAAGTTCTTTTCATACAATGCTCTCGCTAATGCCATCAAGAATGAGTTCAATGGTGCTTCAAACGTCAATGTTATCTTTAACAAGAAGTTTGTGAAAGAATCTAAGTTCGGTCAGTATGTCAGACCATTAGCTATCGTCATTGACCGCAAACGTTATACTTCACAAGAGTTAGCAGTAGTTTTGAAACAAAAGGGTTTCTTCGTGAATGTCAAAGATACTCATTATACTGTCATAAAGAACTCTAACATTGACTTCTTCAGTATTGCTATGAATCTTTCCGAACAGAAAGAATATAAGAAGGGTGAAACAAATGTGAAATATTATCCTTCATCTCTGAAGACAATAACGAACAAAGATGTTATACAGAAATTCTTACCAAAGGTTGAAGAAGCTTCTATTGACATTGACGAAGGAAGTGAAATGGTTGAAGAAATTGACCCTGACGTCATTTAAGCAAAAATATATTTTTTTTCATTCTTCATATCGACATTTTACAACACTTAAATGGTAAAAACAAAATAAACTTGACGAAGTGAAGATTTGCACTTCGTCGATTATGATCGACATGGAGCGTTTTGTTTTTATCATGGTTTTCTCCACTATGGTTCTAACGTGGCACCCGACGAGATTTTTTTTCATTCTTCCTCTTTGAAGTTATCGAAATATTCTGTTATTTTTTCCTTCAGTAATGTTAAGTCTTCTTTGAATGTAAGTATTGTGCAACCTTTGATGTCATAGTGTGTTTGAGGAAGTGTGTCTTGAACTATCTGTTTAACATCTTCATTCGGTGTCATTGAAATCGGTAAGTTTTCACGATAGAACCAGTTTCTGTCAGATTTGTAAATCTTAGCAAGGTCATAAAAGCTTTTGTTGTTTCTTCTGACTAAATGCAACATAACCATGTCACTGTCTTCTTCTTTCTCCAACTCTTCAGTATATATCATATACTTATAACTCTTTTCCTTTCCTTTTGGTACTGAACGTGGTATTCTTTTCTGTATGCTTTTGTCTTTGGATTCAATGACTTCATCTTTTGCATGAAGTTTCATTTCCATATCTTCACGTTCTGCTTTATATAGTTCATCTAACATCATGAAAATATAACAAGCATAACGAGGTGAAGCCCACATTGCTACAGCGTTTACTAAAAGTCTATGAACATAATAACCTTTCAAACCAGGAGCCAAATTCTTGCGATTTTCATACGGAATCTCTTCCCCCGGTTTTCCGAGGGAAGCAATCATATGAGGAAATTCTTCTAAAAGTTCTTTTGTCTGTTGGTTTTCAAACCAATGATATGCTTGCTTTGTAGAACAAAGAGCATTCATTATACTTTGCATTTGGTACATGTCATCTTTGACCGAACGAATGAGACGTAACTGTTTGTTATACTGTATGTATTCATATTCTTCATTAATGGCTTCATGAACGATAGCAGTTGTTGTGTTCTCTGTTGTTGACATATCTGTCTTTACATACAAAATAAAAAAATAAATAAAAATAAAACTAACTTTATTTTTCTGTGATAAAGAAATGTTAAAAATTCATGGTTACATATGTGAAAAGAAGTCACGAACAAATGAAGGTCATAAGATTCAGCACATAATTCTGAATTGAATGGTGTGTCATACATGTCAAACCGTCAAGAATTGAAGGAGATACGAGGCTATAAAGATTTTGGATATTTTCTGACACACACCCTGAGGGAAAAGTGACAAAACACGACGATAGAAAAAGTGGCAAAGTTGAGAGAAAGTTGTCCCCGACCAAAATGCAATCATGCTGGAAAAGTGACATTTGTAAAGTTGGACGATAGGATTTCCTGAAAAAGTGCAAGACTTGTCTTGAATCAGGACAAGATTTGTCTTGAAAAAATACAAGACTTGTTCTGAAAAAATACAAGACTTGTCTTGAATCAGGACAATTGTTCTCAAATTTGAGAACTTTACAAGAAAAACAGACTAAAAAGTGCAAGTCTTGTTCTGAATCAGGACAAGATTTGTCTTGAAAAAATACAAGACTTGTTCTGAAAAAATACAAGACTTGTCTTGAATCAGGACAAAACTTTACAAAATGTAAACTTTACATAACCGTTTCTATCGTACATGATATTTAGTTGACATTGTAAACTATCTTCATGTAAAGTATGGCGGTTTGAAACCGTCGGGAACCTTCACTTTTTTGACGAACTTTCCGCAGCAATTTTTAAAATTTGTGAAAACTCAACGGTTTGACACGTGCCATATGTCATTTTACTCAGAATTTTGTGCTGAATTCAGCAAAAATAATTTTTAGGGTAGATGGGTATATCTAACCTAATTTCTACCACGAATTCTACCCTCATTATTTATAACCGTTTTACATGGTAAACGTTATTTTTGGAATTTTGTGAAAACTCAACGGTTTGACACATGCCATATGCCATTTTACTCAGAATCTCACGAATTCAGCAAAAATAATGAGTTCATTTACTCACAATATTTTTGTACAAAACGACTCCAAACTTTTAACTTCTTTTCTGCAGTTTCTAATGCTATCTTAGCGAGTTCATATTCTCTAAATTCTCTCTTTAAATCTTCTTGTTCCCATTGGTCTAGTTCGTATTGAGAATCTCTATAACCATAACATATCTCACGTTCATGTTCTAATTGTTTTTCACACATTTTTCTAACTTCTTCAAACAAAGGTTTAGCATTCTCTACTGTATCTTCGAGTTCTTCTTCATCTAATTTCTCATGAACTTTCTTGTCTATGGAGTCCATAATATCTTTGACATAAAATGCATACTTTACAGAGCACCATTCAGCAACAAAATGAACGAGGTCAGGATGTATGTAAATACCTTTGAATTCATTTATAACGCCCTTAGCAAGCTCATAAAATGCTTGTTTTGAGGTTGAGCCACTTTTGGCTCCACCGTATTCTTTCAACCAAAACTCAAGAATTTCCTGCATTTTAGTACTATTGAGAAATCTGTTTAAATGGTTTAACTTTCCTGCTTCTCTTGCCATCTTTGTTGCATTAATGTAACCATCCTTGTCTCTACGTAAGACTTCAATACCGTTATAAGTGCCTTTTGTGAATGTTTCGCCATTAGATTTGTTCGTGAATGTTTTTGCTTCGACTGACATTTCTGTTCTTACATACAAAATAAAAAAAAATAAATAAAAATAAAACTAACTTTATTTTTTCTATCTTAAGGAAATTCATGAAAATTCACGAGGGTGAAAAAACATGTGAAAAAAGAGGTGAAATCTCACCTCTTCACCTAAACATTATTTTTGTCTGATTTACATCTAATGAAAAAGTTTAGAAGAATTTTCTTATTCTTTCTGGCATATTTTTGTCTTTCCAGTACTCCCGCTCTAATGGTCCCAGATGTGTTGGCTTTGACTCTCTCAAGTTCTTAGATGGTATAACATCTTCAACACCTCCTTCATATCTTACTTTATAAGTGTCATCGTTTATGTTATAGCCAAGTATTTCAATAACCACTCCTCGCTTTGCTTCGTCAATGGTTTCAGCAAGTTTGCCATTACTACTTTCGACTAATTTATGTCGAGGATAAAGTGCAATAGAGTCGTCAGCAGCTTTTATAAGATATCCATTACCTTGCGTAGAGTCTACGATATAATAGTTTCTACTTAACCTTAAACGTTTCTTTGTCAACGGTTTGTCGTCAAGAACTACACGAACTTTTGTACCAGGAATGAGGGTAAATTGTGTTGAATTTCTGATATTTTGTGTTTGGCTTCGTTTCTTTTGTATATACTTTTCTTCTTGTTGTTGTGTCATTGAATTTGGTGTATGTCCTGTTGTAGAATGTGTTGAGGAATTATATACTTCGAGAAAATGTTTCATTGTTTCTTCGGTAAAGTCTCGCTCTTGGTTTAAATCTCTGAGAGTCCTTATGAAGCGGTTTATGATGCCGAGTATGTTATGGTTATGGTCTTCAGTAGTGTAGTGAGTTATGTTATGCTTAATGAGAAAATCTGTGATTTCATTGCTGAGGTATGCACTGTCTTGGTCTGATGTTAAAGTACTTGGGCTATGTTCTGCTACAAACTTTTGTAAAACTCTTAACACTTCACGAGTTCCTTTATTTTTCATTGTATATGCATATGCTTTACGAGTGTTAACATTAATGAAGATGAGGAATGGTTTATGTCCTCCTTTTCTGCTTTGAATGAGAGTGTCAAATTGGTATGCGTCAGGAGTGTTGGAGTAAATTGGTAAAAAGTAGTCGTAAGGGTTTATTTTTGTTTGATGTACAACATTTTTGTCAAAGAACCTTTTCACTTCAGCTCTGTTAGTAAATCCCCAACTCTTTGCAGCTTCATTGAACTTCTTAAATGACCTCCATGGATGTTGTTCGAATACTTCTTTCAAGCTCATTTATGTAAAGTTAAAGATTTTATTCTAGGCTCAAGCGCGTTCATTGAACGCGGTACCATGCGAATACAGTCATAAATGGTGGCATATAATCTTCACCCGAGCCTGTTGGATTTGTTGTGAAAGTGTGTGAATGATTTCCTCCCGGTTCAGTTTGTCGAAAAGTCTTTTTTGCTGCATTGTTATAAGATGGAGATAAAACGTCATTGCCAGCTTCATACTCTGAGTTGTATAATGGGTGGTCTCTTAATGAGTGGATATGGTCGCCAGAAAAGTTTGTAGTTCCTGTATGAGTGTGTGGTGGAAGGTTTGCTTCTTTAATTTTCTTCGAACCTCCTGCCGTCTTTGAATATCTAGCACAGTATAAGAATTTATCTACAATCTGCTTCCACGTACCAAAACCTAAAACACTTGCTGGATTTGTTGAATTCATTGACGTATAAATAGAGCCTATAGGATATAATGTTTGAAGTATTTCAATCTTTAATGTTTGAAGCTCTGTTTTGTCTGCTTTCTTATCTAACATTGCTGGTAGTTCATATGCTTCAAAGTTTCTGGCATGACCTTCGATATTCCTGCAACTGTTATCTAAATTGTTAAGAGTATCTTTTACGCTTGTACTCGGATTCTCTAAAGGTGCACTTGAACCCAAATCATAGTTCAATATTATGTCGTCTGCTCTAACAGTAGTGAAGGATTTATGTGTATGGTTCTTGTCGGCTTTTTTATCTAACATTGCTGGTAGTTCATATGCTTCAAAGTTTCTGACATGACCTTCGATATTCCTGCAACTGTTATCTAAATTGTTAAGAGTATCTTTTACGCTTGTACTCGGATTCTCTAAAGGTGCACTTGAACCCAAATCATAGTTCAATATTATGTCGTCTGCTCTAACAGTAGTGAAGGATTTATGTGTATGGTTCTTGTCGGCTTTTTTATCTAACATTGCTGGTAGTTCATATGCTTCAAAGTTTCTGACATGACCTTCGATATTCCTGCAACTGTTATCTAAATTGTTAAGAGTATCTTTTACGCTTGTACTCGGATTCTCTAAAGGTGCACTTGAACCCAAATCATAGTTCAATATTATGTCGTCTGCTCTAACAGTAGTGAAGGATTTATGTGTATGGTTCTTGTCGGCTTTACTGTCTAATGTAGCTTGAAGTTCATTTATATCGGAGATGTTGTGTTTATGAGATTTCAAAACTTTGTTCATTGCTTCAAGTTCAACTTTGTCAGCTTTACTTTTAATAGCATCTTCAAAAGTTATTTTTGCCTTAACTCTCAATGTAAATCTTGGTTCAACTAATACACCGTTAACAAAGAAGTATGAAGCATAAATTTCATCGTTATAACCAAATACTTCTGGTGCTTTACCTGTGTCATACTGTACAGTACAGCGTATGTCATAACCTTTAGCACGAATGAATTTATATCTTCTTTCATTAACATCTTTCGTCTTCACTTCTTCATCCTGTGTTAAATATCCATGGTAGTCCGTTATAATCTGTTCATCTGAACATATATAATGAACATGGTTTTTATCTGCTTTTTCGGCTAATTTCTCTTCTATCTCATTTATTTCAAGTTCATGCCTACCACCACCTCCCGAAGAAGTATTTTTCTTCAGCTCTTGAAGAACATCCACTTCGCCATCTTTGGTGTCAATAATGAGACTTTGAGTTAAAACCTTTCCTGTCTTAATGGATGTTTGTAAAACTTCTTCTTCACCGTGTTCGGGGTCATGGTCGTCATCATATCTTGTGAAATCAGAGATGTTGTCATACATTAAGCATATCTGTCTCAAAAGTTCTGCTATTTGAAACTGGAACGAAAGATATACAGAACTTTCATCATCTCCTAAAGTCAAGTCTGCTTTCTTAAGTATTTCTTGAATGTATGCAATGAGAACAGAGTACCTTGGAAAATATTCGAA